AAGTAATCCCACTGAAATCACTGGCACCACCCAGCAATTAAGGGACTACTCAATAAAAGGATTGCCAATTTATTATCATTCAGGAAAAAAAATAACTTAAGTCTCTGTTGAAAAGCTGTGTAACAGAGAACTGGACACTACTAGATATAAAAAAGAAGTCAGATAGGATAAACTAGAGAAAGATGGAGCTGGACTGCTTACTCCCTTGTGCAGTCATTTACCACCTGTGCAAAACACTACCAATGAGTTTTACACTCACTCTGCATGAGTGTAATGAAGAGGGGACTCAAACCCTTTGTCTCTATACATTGATGTATTATAAAAAAGAATGCACAAATGAAAAGGAAACACTTTAATAAACTTTAAGAGAATAGAATAGCGGAAAGAATTCACTTAGATGTTACATATTTGAAACCAGAATATATATTTTCACACTTCTGCTAAGGGTTTTTTGTGTTTGTTTGTTTGCTACCATAAAATGTAGGGAAAGAAAGAGTGTGTTACCATACTGTACTGACATTTTCATCCCGCCTATAGAAGTAGCAGTCATTTTAAAAAGTTATGGTCTTGTAATGAGAAAAGATCTAATGCTTACTGGTATTTTAATGTCTGGATAATTAAATGTACTTAATTTGAAAACACTAAGTTATTTAATGCAATACAGTTACAATAGTAGTCAATGTAGTTATATTCGTCATCATGTCTATATCATAGTGATTAGTTGCTTTCTATATCATCATGTCTATATCATAGTGATTAGTTGATAAAACACTTCTAGAATGTAATGAAAAGGTTTACATAATGTAATTGCAATAAAGACCTACAATTTTAAAAAGAATTTGAATTAGTTTATTTAAATTCAACAGTACTATTACAATTTGGCTATTGTTATCAAACTAAAAACTTCACAGGCTCCCTTCAAACAAAATCATTGAGGAATCATTTTCTATAGTAAAATGATCAGTATAATCTATTTTAGATAGTCATGACATGGATATATTTAATTTGAATTGTCTACATAACAATTTTGATGGTGCTATTTTAGGATAAAAAACCTTCCATCAAATCATTGCTCTGCCTAAATTGCTATTAGATATAGCTAATAGCAATTAAATGTGGTCATGGACATACTGAAAATGTATACCATTATGAAATTTGCAGGCATGTAGCCTTAAATACATCTTTTAACTTTATTTGCACACACTGAGCTTCACATTCTGTTTTTAACTGCTGATGAAGTTTGGGTGAACATTTTAAGTTGCTTGACTGACAGTCTGTTTATTGTTTAACCTTTTTATTGGGCTTCTAAAGAAATGTATCAAATATTTACCAATCCGAATCTCCCTACAGCAAAGCAGACAACAAATATCTCCATGTATACAATTAGTACTATTAGCCTATTTACATTAAAGAAGAATAGTGTATTTGAATAATGTATTTTTCAACAGTGGTTCCAGCATGCTAATTTATTGGCCAATTTCAAAAATAATTCTATAACGTAATTATACACATAGTAAATGTGCTATATTTAACACAAAGTCACATATGGTGAAGAACATATCAAACTATCAGTTAAAATGTTTAAAATAGATTCTCATGTCATCTGATCTTCAGAAGTATGTGTTAAAACATCAAGGACTAGATTCACAAGGGGGACTTAAGTCTAAGTCCGACATGTAGGCACCACTGGAATTCACAAAACCACCATTCAGCTGCCACCTAACCTTGTAGGCACCTAAAGTCCCAATGTGCCTACATTTCCATTTGTGGGCATGTGCACAGCTATTAAAGTCCTGACACCACTAAGTTGCTTGGTGCCTGACTCATACCTAAGCTCTAGAGGGATTCACAAACTTGGCATTTTCCTACTTGTCTTACCTGCAGGACCTTATCTGGCACACATGCTCAGAGCTTGCCTAACCTGGACAAAAGACAAGAGGAGGAGCTGATTGTATGCTTGTACCCTGAGGTTAGGGCACTCCACTATGAGATAGGAAACCTGGGTTCAAATGGCTGATCTACCCTATTTAGAGCAGGAACTTGAAGCTATGTTTCTCACCTCTTGGGTAAGCACTGCAACCTCTGGGCTTCTGAGTATAAAAGGAGGCTTGTCTTCATTCCCTTGTGAGAATAGGGCTGACCTGGCTTAAGCACTTAACTCCAGGAGAAGATTCACAGCTATGAATCCCAAACAGTGATACGCATCTCTCTTGGACCTGGAGTTAGGGGCTTAACTCTGGGAGAGGGTGGGCTTAGGTCTCCTTGGTATTTCCTGCTATCTAATGTAGACAGTTCTGTGCTCAGCATGCTGGCTTTTGTGAATCCCTTTCTTAGGTGCCTATGATGGGGTGTGCTTTCCACACTGGCCCTGAGAGAGTTGAATTAGGCCATGTGGAGGGCACTAATTAGGAGGCAGCTCACCTGTGAGAGAACTGGCAGGTCTTCTATAAAGCCAGGAGGCTGGTAGCAGCGGGAGGAAGCTTGCAGTCTCTCTCCCTGAGTTAAGGTCCTATTGGGTTCTAGGAAGTGGGCAGATACAAACCTGCCCATTGCTAAAGGACCCTCTCCCAGCCTTAGGGAAGGATCAATAAGGTCCAGGAACTCAAATAATTACGGGGGCAACCAAAAATGTAACAGGGGCAGGTGTGAAGGTTAAAGGGTCAATCAAAGGGAACCTGAGGGGGACACCGAGCAGAGAACCCCGAACAGTGCCCACTGCTCCTCGAAGGTGTCAAGGGAGCCAGTGGATGCTGCCCAGAGGAACTCTGGCCAGATACGTGAGCGAAGGCAGGATCAGAAATAGGCCCCACAGCTGCAGGAAACCCACTCAGCCAACTTCCTCTCCCTGGTCTTATAGATGGCTACTTTGGCTAGGGCTAGGAGGAGGTTGACAAGGAGGTCCTGCAATCCCTGAGTTAAGGTAGAAGGAAGGGAAGATAGGAACCCCTGAGAAAAGGTAGAGGAACCTAGGAGGAAGGGTTTATCTAATAGGCGTAACAGCAAGGGGTCTGATTAGGAAGACTGGAGAATGAAAAACTTAGAGACACATGGTAGGAAGTAGTCCAGGGTGATAGCAGTAAAGTAGATGTAGCTGCAGAACTTAGCTTGCGGTAGGGCCCTGGACTGGAACCCAGAGTAGAGGGCAGGCCTGGGTTCCCCTGCTATCCACTGCTAAGTGATATTGCTAGGGGCAATGAAGGGAAAGACTGCCTGAGTCATTGCAGGAATGATGTAGTCAGGGTGGTAGGCATGAGGACTGCTCGATGCTGCTGATGCAGAAGGACTTTGAAAGACTCCCCTGGAAGGAGAAACTGCAGTGTGACCTGGCTGGAGGGCCAAGTCATGAAGCAGCTGTATCATGATCCTATGAGCAGGAGGAGACCTTCAATGGGGAATGAGAAGAAAGGGGACACTGAACTGGGTAGATCTAATCCCCAGAATCACCAGAGTAGGTTCTATCCAGGTGTGAGTAGAGCACCCCACGACAGTAACTAACTGTCATATGCATTGTATAGGGAGCCTGGATCCGTAACTTGGGGTTGTGAATTCCACTAGGCAGCAAGGCACCTAAACGTTAGGTGTTGGAATACTGTGCATTCCAGTGCCTAAGTCCCCCTTGTGAACTTCGCCACAAATGAACATAAAAACCTTTCCACGTATTCACCCTACATTATTTTGCTATGAAGAAGCATTGCAGTGGAGACTTTAGGTGCACAGTAAGTAAAAATCCCATCAATTTATAAATAAAATGAAGGGACTGATAAATCTCCAAAGCTAAAAAATGCTTGAAATTGAGAAATCTCCAAAAACCTTCAAACTGGTAGTATTTGCTTTACAATTTAAAACAAAATTCTTGATCTCTACTGTTGACTTCGCACAGAGAGGAAACTAAAGAGAAAGTATATTAGATTATAATATTATACATGTTGATTTCTGGTGGGGAGGGTGACGAAGGAAATATTCAACAAGTGCAAATGTGCTAAGGGACAGATTCTGCAACCTGTTGTCCATGGACCTCTGGGGGTCTGCAGACTGTCTAAGATTTCCAAACATTTCCATTTGAAATTTTGTTAGGGCTGTGCAAATGAAAAAAGGTTGAAAACCACTGGAATAGATTGTTACTATGCAGTTAGTCCTACTGATTGCAATGGACCTACTACCAAAGTAAAGTGTTATTCAGAGTAAGTGCGTGTGGCAGAAACTAGTCTTAAATTACAAGTGGTAATGAAGACTGAAACAAGCTATCGTGAATAACCTTCTATTTACAAAAAAATTAGCCAAGTACAAAGTAAAACAGTGTGAAACATGAAATTGGTGATTAATTTCTTCACTGGTGCTGTACAAGATTTGGGTTGTGATCAGTAACCTGGAATGGAAACATGAATGCAATCCTATAGGTGGCATCCTCACTTTTAAACCACTCGCTAACTCCAGTTGCTATAGCAACTTGATACAGCTTTGTAAGGGGAGATTTTAATGTCATTTCAAAACTTTAATCACCATAGCAACACAATTTAGCTCTTTGAAGCAAAATCGTATTTTTTTTACGAATTTTTAATGTGTATCTTACTCCACTTGTATTTCTTTCCCTCTGGAAAAGACAAAAAGCATCTCATTACAAAGGAAAGATGGAACGTAACTATCCTTGCGTCACTACTTCACCATTATTCAAAATACAACAAAAGCAGAAGGGTGGGTGTGTGGGGGGTGTGTGTGGACAAGATTAAAACATTTCAAAGTAACTTTTACAACCTATTTTTTATAATGGGAACTGTACTATTTTAACACACAATGCATTAGCATTCATTCATTCCTGCTATTCAGTTCCACAAGTCGGGCCCCTTTGAAGCAAAGAGGTTTCCACTAGAAAGAAAGGTTTCAAAATTCACGATGGATAATAGACTGATGAGATGAAGAATGCTGACTCGTTATTTTTAGGAAGTCAGTGTATTGCAGATCCTGTGTCTTTGTGTGTGTGTATGAGAGAGAGGGGGACTTACCTATAGTTGACACTACTGTCCCCACAAAATAGAAAGCCCCGGTGAAGTCCCATCTTGGTCTTACGGCATCTGCCCGGATGCCCGCGGCCATGGCTGCTTCATAACTCCGCAGGAAGTCCCTTAGCTCAGGCATACTGATGTTGAATATTTGGCTGAAGTTTTGGAGGGTCCTGTTCCAGCGATGCTGAGCCTCGACTTCGGACGGCCTCTCGAGGGCTGAGAACACCGTAGCTCCAGCTGCCAGATAAGCTGCGATCAGGGCCGCTAAGAGGAGGAATCTGCCATTGTCCTTGTTGAAATGGGACAAGCAGCAGCAGCCCTGCGATCTCCGGCTCGACATCATCCAAATTTCAGCACCCCCGAGCCGGCGGACAGTGACCAACACCTCCTCGAAGACACTGGCATTGGACTACTGTTAAATTCATGGAATCCCGAGTTAAAATCGTAGCTGGTTCATTGCAGGTGCGTCTTTTCTCAGTCATACTTAGCAAGAGCCAGCGGGGAGCCCTGAGCTGCCATGCTGATTTCAGTGGCTGAAGCTGCAGGAGAATACAACTAGCCTGAAGCCCAGAGGGTCCTGTGGACAATCCCCACCTTGGCTTTAGCTTTCCTTGGAGCCACGTCTGGAGTTCCTTTTTCCTTTGAGCTCTCCACTGAGCTCCGAACTGCAGTGGCCATTGGTTTCTGGGAAACGGCTTTACTCCGCATCCCCATCCCCCCTGTGACCATATTCTTTGTATCCAGCCTGCCACCCGCTGACAGACACCGTCTGTCTGGCGTCCTCTTTTGGGGAAAGTTATTGATTTCAGGAGCGCTGGTTTTTGGTAGCCAGGGTGAATGGGGTCCAATGTTCTCTCATTCCAATTAACAACTGTTTGGTCATGACGTATTCAATGGAATAGCTGGGGTTCGCCAAATAATACTACTCACATCACGCTAATATCTTAAGGTTTTATTTGCAAAGTTCTGGGGAATTTGCCCTGGTAACAGATCCCTTAAATCCCGCATCTTAAAAAGTATTCTCTGTCTCCACTGTGAGTCCATATTTCCATATACAAGTCGCTGCATCATGCTTACAGGCATCCATAAGTATCCCCTGAGACCAGTGTCGGTAGTTAGGGATCAGCTGCGTTTAAAGCCATCTTGATTCTGTCGGAGCTCAAGATTTGGCAAAACACCATGAGTCTGGCTTTCAGCTTCGTTGTTCCATCATGCGCACTGGTCCTCTGCATTTGCTCAGATTTTTTTGCTTTCATTTCGTTGGGTGAAAATGCAGTCACACCTTTCTGCAGACCGTAACTGCTCTGGGTTATAACATATCTACATTCAAACGTGCCTCTCTGCTCGCGAAAAGGGCTCGACAAGTTTTTTCGTATAGAATCCCAAACGGTTTAAGGCTTATTTTGTAACAAAGCACTGGATGTATACCCAAGTTACTTCCTCTGCGCGCACTGGTGTATACTTCAAACTGGATGGTTCGTTGCAAAAATGCATCCGTAGACAGCCATGCAATTCACCAGGGAGGCAAATTTCAATCTGGATACGCGTGACTTCTACTTTTTTGCCTGACTCATTCTAGGAGTCCCCTGTTGGGCTCGATTTCTGTCTCCACCTGAAGTCAGCGTAAAAGCCTTGGTGTTAAAATTCATTGTAAATCACAATATTCAGCCAGACAGTTCCCGGCCCCTCATCCCCCCAAAGTCCCTGAACTAGCCGCATCTAATGGCACTTTTCGCTCTGGCTCCGTGCACTGAGCCTCGGAAGCCGCGGGGTTAGTCCAAAGGGCTGTTTACAGCGTCTCCAAGAGCCGTGGGGCGGCATATTTCACAGACAGTCGGGGGGGGGGGGGCGACCCTTGAGAGCAGGCAAAGGGAGCTGGCGCGCTGCCCTGTACCCGCACCCTGGGGTGCGCAGCGCTCTAGCGGGGCCGCGGCGGCTCAGACAGGCGCGCTTCAGCGTGGGGCTAATGGGATATTTTGCGGCAGATCCGCTGACACCTAACCAAATGCAAAACGCCTGATCGGAGGAGGGTGGAAAATGCTGGCTCTGCCCGCCCGCCGGCCGAGGGGCCTGCGCTCTTTGTTCTGGGGGCTCCGAGAGGCGGCTCTGCCAACGCTGCAGGTGTTTGGGGGATTGCTCCAGTCAGCGGCCCTCCGAGCCGCCCTGGGCCTAGTCTCAAGAAGCCGCCGAAAGGAGGAGATGCAAACCACCTCGCGGAGGAAGGGGGAGTGCTTTCAGGTAGGCGAAACCTGCAGGCTTCTTCTTCCATTTCTCTTCCTGATATCCAGTGCCCCCAGCCACTGGATTGAGCTGCCTTCCAAGCAGAACTGTAAGTCCGGGGCCCGTTTAGTTGAACATATAAAGAAAATTATTTAAATGATGTGATTTTGTTTATACAACTATGTAAATGATTAAAAATGTAAAGTAAAACGAGGTCTTAGATTTATTTGAGGAAATGTTTTAATTTATCACAAGAAAGGTTCTTTTTGAAGAGTCTGCTAATAGCTTAATGGTTAATTAATTAGATGAACATTTTATTCCCTTCAATGCACATTAATGTTTGTGATCAATCTACATTTCCTGGAGTACTCTAGGTTAAACCCAAGAAAATGGCACATCACTTAGTTTAGTTTGTGGCTACCATCTTTAAGATCAAGACTTTCCCAAAGCTGGTGGATTCTTTCCCTGATAATTTCTTCACAACAAGATTTATATCCTCTCTTATCCATTAAGTCCCACTAGATCGGGGTGGGCAAACTTTTTGGCCTGAGGGCCACATCAGGGTTCTGAAACTCTATGGAGGGCAGGGTAGGGAAGGCTGTGCCTCCCCAAACAGCCTGGCCCCCGCCCCCTATCTGCCCCCTCCCACTTCCTGCCCCCTGACTGCCCCGTCAAAACCCCCAACCCATCCAACCCCCCTGCTCTTTGTCCCCTGACCACCCCCTCCTGAGACCCTCCACCCCAACCACCACCCCCAGGACTCCACCCACTATCCAACCCACCCTACTCCCTGACTGCCCCGACCCCTATCCACACCCCCACCCCCTGACAGGCCCCCCAAGGACTCCCATGCCTATCCAACCACCCCCTGCTCCCTGCCCCCTTACCATGCTGCTCAGAGCACCAGAACTGGCAGCTGCGTGGCCTGGTTGGAGCCAGCCACGCTGCCACGCAGTTTAGAGCACAGGGCAGACTGGCGGCTCTCGCAGCCCCACCACCCAGAGCACTGGCAGCAGGGCGAGCTGAGGCTGTGGGGGAAGGAGGGACAGTGGGGGAGGCACCTGGGGCTAGCCTCCCTGGCCGGGAGCTCAAGGTCCAGGCAGGATGGTCCTGCAGGCCACAGTTTGCCCACATAGATGCTACAATTGCTTGGTGAATCATTTGCGGTGGTGAGAAGTGGATAGGAAATTGTAATGAGCATGTTGCAAAAGGCACAGAGCAATATATCCCATTTAGTCCCAGTCCTGCAAACACACATGCATGGGAATAACTATACAGATAAATCACATGTATTTATTTATCCTGGGATTATTCATATGCATAAGTGTTTGCAGGAGCTGGGCCTAAATGTGGAAGTATAGGGACCAATTCACAGCAGCATCAAACTTTTCTAGGAGCGTTTTTGCTTTCTGTTTTTTGTTCTATTTTGCTCTTTTCATTTGGGGGAGTGTACTCTTTACGAGATAATAAACAAAGTAACATCATGACTTTGCAGATGAGTGATTATGGTGTCTTGTCCTTTACCAGGATGCTTACATGTTATTTATGCATAGGTAACTGCTATAAGTTCTTATCTGAGATCTGAGTGTTTTTGCTTTGCACTAAGGTTCCATATCACTTGTGCAATTATCCTCTCTTTACACAGATCTGGAACACAAACAAAATTTGGGACTTTGCTTACTCCACAGTAGAGACATTCATTCTCAAGGGAGGTATAATATATTTTGATGTCTTCACAATGGTAAGAAATATATTTAAATTTCTTCACAGCACACAGGCCAGACTCTGTCTGGGAAGCTCAGCTCTTAAAGGCACAGTCCCGTATACCACCTCTTCCCTTCCAAGCCAAACTTTAATAGCACTTAACCGCCTGAGACCCTTTTGGGCAAACTGGCAGGCTCAGTGCCCTTTATCTCCCTCCCTTCTGGGATTTGGAGAAGCTGTCATCTATTCCTCCATAGCATATGTCCATCTGGGATGACAACCTCATGCAGTCTCTTTTGACACCACTGCTTTTTGCAAGCATTGTTTCCTATCGTAAAGATGTGCAACATAATTTTCATGAAGTTGTGGCAGCTCCTGGGATCCCAAATCATACTGACTTCTTTTTTTGTTTTTGCATATCTGTCCTTTTATACAGCTGCAAGTCCCCACTGACTCTGACATCAGTGTCTGACAGTGCAGATATTCTTGTTTATTGCGTAAAATGTCAGCATGTGACAACACAGGCGTCACTGGTGGTGCTCTGTACTTTTACAGTGCTAAATGTGAATCAGAGTCTGATACCGTAGCCTTTATTATTTTGACAATGTTTCCCCCATTTCTAGAGTTTCAGTTCTGGTGAGGCTGTTAACTGTTCCATTCCTCCACTTGGAGTATTTTCTTAATTACTTTTTACTCCTGATACCATGTGGTGTTCAGTGCTCACTTAGTGCAGAAGGTACTTTCAAGAGCTCTTCTTTATTCTGTGTCCAGTTCCAGCTGTTCTGTGCATAACAAAAGCTTCACATCACTCTGTCAAAGAAACTCAGCCCCTAAAGGTACTGTTCCCAATACCACATTGTTTTAGATCTTGGCTTTTTCTCTGAACTTGGAGCTAACATCATCTTGATTGAATGATGTGGTACCGGTTACCAGGCACTCCATGTGTGAGGCCACGCACAGCCAAGATGTTGCAAGTGTGGTTAGTCAGACTTGTTGATTGTACATAGGGGCAGAAGAGGGTGAATAGAAAAGAAAAGGACACTCTCTGGCAGAAAACACATTATATTAGAGTGACTCCAGGATAAGCAATGAAGGGGCAACCTGAGAAATGATACATCAGATAAAACTGAGAGAACAAGGCATCTTCTATCATAGTTTGAGACACTAACTGGGAAGTTTGGGCTGTATCAGAACACACACTGGATCTAGAGGTGGAATATCCCTAAAGTAGCCTTCACACTCCTAAAGTTGGTCTGGTTCCAATAAAACTCAGCAGGGGAGAAGGAAAAGCAAGGAAGGCCAAAGGGACAGTAAAATAATAGAGAAAAGCACCTAGGACCTAACCTAAAGCCCATTGAAATCAATAGGAATCTTTCAATTGGCTTCCATAGGCTTAAAATCAGACCCCTAATGAGGAGCCCTATATAATAGCTGAGATCTTGGCAGTTGAGTGTCAATAGAGCTGTAGCTAGAAACAAAAGAGCAGGCAAGCAGCTGACTATATGGCAAAGCAGAGTCACTGGAGCTGCAGCCAAATAGAATCAATAAATATAGCTAAAAATATAGCTAAGGAACCAGTTGTTTTACATGATAGCACCACTGATGATCAAAATAGGAGAAAATGTTTCATCTAGGACAAAGGGCCTGCTTTTTCTCACCTACACAGTTGTGAATCAGAAGTAAATACCTTGGTATCAGTGGCATCAAACTGAACCAGATTGTGATTTCCATTGAATTCACTGGATTTACATTTGTGTAGCAGAGATCAGATTCTGGACCATGCATGTTAAACTGAGTGAGTGAGAGAATTCAGGTCTAGTGCTTTTGTTAAAAAAATGAAATATTAAATACTTATAATCTAAGGGCCCAATCCTGCAAGGTGTTCAGCAGCTTTAGCCTATGAGAGACAATGGAGCCAAATAACATACTTATGTGAATGATCTCTGACTTTTTATGGACTACTCACTTGACTAAGTGTTTGTGTAACCTGCACCCATGCAGTGTAGTACTCTGTCTGCTCAAGTGGCAGCTAGGCCACACAGAGCAGGGGTGGCCAAACTTATTGACCATCTGAGCCACCTAGGCTAATCTTCAACAGTTTAAGAGCTGCTTCAGCCCTGTGGGGCTCCAGACCTGCTCCTGCTGAAGCCCTGATCCCTGGTAGGTATACCCTGTTGGGCTCATGCCCCGGACCTCCCACCCGCTGGGCAGAAGCTGGAGGCAACACTTGGGGGGTAGGGTATGTGGGGTCATGAAATTCAAAATTTTCAATTTTAACAATATGTTGCATTGAAATTTCTAACTTAATAAAAAAGCCTTGGAAATTTTTTACAAAATTTTGCAAAACTATATATATATATATATATCCCATTTTTCAATCTGTGATAGAGCTGGTAGAAAAATGTTGAATTTGTTAATCAAAATGTCAATGAAAAAGCAAGATTAATTTTTCATTAAAATATCTGCAGAAATTATGTCCCTTTTATAGCCATCTCCATAGAGATGGAACATTATCAGTGGAGGATTAACATCAGGCAAAGGATTTTGATTGAAAGGAATTCCACAGCTCCATCTTGCTCAGGACAGCAATCAAAGCTTCATGGGGGCAAATCCTGAAGTCCTTGCTGAGTCCTTACTTACACAAAACTCCCACTAAAGCCAATCTCTGAAACTAGTTATTTGGCCAAATGACTGACACTTTTAACCAGCTGGTCAAAGAACTATGATACTTTGCCATTTGATTAGGTTATTGAAACTCCCTGGCATTTGGCCAAAACATTATTAGGCTTCTAAACCATTTACATCAGAACAGATGTTTTTATAAAGCAGGGTTTCAATAGTAAATTCAATGCTTGCCTCACAGACCAATACATGTTGATGTTTACCTCAACAGAAGTGTAATGTGTTTCAGTTTAGTGAATTACAATGGTAGGATAGATTCATACCATAGGCAATTCTCATTAATGTCTTCACAATTGCACATCAATATGCTGACAATAATATAGTCCAAAGATTATTCAGGATTAGCAAAGGCTTATGCATTGCTACTCATGCCATAATTTAGCAATACAGTGGAGCTATTCTGGCCTCTTTAAATAATTATCTGATTATTAAACTCCAAGCCTGTTATGCCAAAACTGGAACACCTCACTATAAGCACAGTGAGGCCAGATTTCCTGTGTTTATGTGTGTGATATCAGCCATTGTGTTTAACTAACTGGAGGCCAGGGTTTGTAAAAGCAATTATTTCTATAATCAAACAGCAGTGTTTCCCTCTAAACAACCAAGCTAATAATGTAAACACATGCAAAGACAGGAGATACATTCATTAGTTGTTAATTAAACTGCCATTCTGAAAACAAGTCATAAAAATGGGACATGATGTTCTGCATTAAGGATTAAAGTTTTATATGATGTTTTAACACTTAAACTACGTAATGTAAAATAATCCTGCATTCTTTCCTATTTTATAAACCTTATTATCTTCTAAGTGTTTGCTGAAATGTCACTTATTATTTGAGCGAGACAGTATCAAAAGCTTTACTAAAGTCAAGATATATCACATCTACCGCTTCCCCCCATCCACAAAGCTTTTTAGCCTGTCAAAGAAAGCTATCAGGTTGGTTTGACATGATTTGTTCTTGACAAATCCATGCTGACTGTTACTTATCACCTTATCTTCTATTTTATAAACAGCAACCTAAGGGTTTCTTTCTCAAAGCCATGTAACAATTTAATTATGTTCTCTCAGACTCACTCGGAGAGAATAATCTCATTAGTGCCACAATTCAATTCAGTTTTACTGTGATGCGTAATTACTTTCCAAAGGCCTGGTCCTGTGAAGTGCTGAGTGCCCTCAACTGCCACTGAAGACAATGGTAGCTTAGGGCACTCAGCACCTTATAGAATTGTACCTGCAACCTAATGCTTTATACAGGCACTGACCTTTTTCATACGAAGTGTGAAACTTTACATTTCATGTCTTAATCCTTCCACACTGGTGGCTTAGGTTCTTCCTTCATCTGTTTGCTAATGCATTTTGTAGGATTGTATTGCACAGGGAGACCTCTGCTCCCACTGTCAAGACATGCAAGGGTCTTTTAATAGGTACGATTGTAGTCTGACTATTCACGGAGCGGTAGATCCACAACAAGGCATGTAATATACTGAGAAGTCAACAAGGGTAAATTCTGTATGCACAATCCACAATGTGAGTAATTCATTTAGATTATTAGACAACAGTCACAGTTTCAGCTTCTTAGAAGTCTCCCTCTGAACAGTACAACCAAAGGCCAGATTTTCAAAAGAGCTTGGCACCCAGCAGTTCTCTGTATGAGTGTCTGGACTTTCAGAAGAACTGAGCCCCCATTTAGGCACCAGAAATGCTCAGCAGCCTTCCATTCCCACTGAGAATAATTGTGAGTGCTGAGCATTTCTGAAAATCTGACCACTCTGCTTAGGTGCCTAACTGGGGGCTGTTCAGTACTGAGCTCTTTTGAATATCAGGCCCCTATACGCAGGGGAACACAGGGTTTATAATGCCCCAAAGGGAACAGGGAGGGCTATGGCTTCCCACACATACACACAACCCCCTCCCCACCTTCCACCGGAGCTGTAGAGCACATACACACAACCTTCCACCCCGAAAAAAAAAACAAAGACTATTTGGGCATAAGCTTTCGTGGGTAAAAAACCCACTTCTTCAGATGCATAGAGTGAAAATTACAGATACAGGCATAAATATAGGCACATGAAGAGAAGGGAGTTACCTTACAAGTGGAGAACCAGTGTTGACAAGGCCAATTCAGTCAGGGTGGATGTGGTCCACTCCCAATAATTGATGAGGGGGTGTCAATACCAAGAGAGGGAAAATTGCTTTTGTAGTGAGCCAGCCACTTCGAGTCCCTATTCAAGCCCAAAGTAATGGTATTAAGTTTGCAAATGAATTGTAGCTCTGCAGTTTCTCTTTGAAGTCCACCACAGGAACCTGTGGGACAAGTTTTGCACCCCCAAAAGCTGTGCAGCAGAGAACTTGTT